ATGGGCTGAATTGCACAAAACGCATGATCGCACCGGCTAGTCTGGTGCGCGCTGCTATTTATTTTAATTGTGAGGCCCACCCGTACAAACATACGTCTGGCTGAAGCGAGTGTTACACGATCGAGTACTGTTACCTGAAATTTTCGGCAGTTTTGGGGCATACGTCGGCGAACAGCTCCATTTTGATGGTACCGATGGGCGCACCGCCGGCCGTCATCTCCATGAACACGATCGGGTTATCCGGGTGCCGGAGCTGCTCCGCCAGATGATCGTAGTCGCTCATCCGCCTGCAATATTCACAGTCAATCAAACTTCGCCTCTTGCGCAACCTTTACGGTGTCTGCTGATCACCGGCGAGCCGTTTAGCACAACCTTTACGGTGTCTGCTGATCACCGGTGAAAGGTAAAGGTTAGCCAATGGCGAAGAAGCTGCGCCGCAGAACGTCCATCGAGGTTCTATTTTTGTATTACAACGTTCTTTATCTCTCCTAACCACTCTAAATTTATAATTAATAAACTCCATTCTTTCTCTTCTTCCTCTTCTTTTTTCCCTCTTTCTTTCTTCACCTTTTTTCCTTCTCTGTTAAATTCCTTCCTTTCCTTCTCTTCCCTGAACACCACAACCGTCATACTGACGAGGTCCAGTCGTGGTGTTGAGCTAAGACGTATATGACTTAATGGACCGAAACGTCTTATCTCAATTGCTTTTTCCTACTATTTTTTCCTCTGCTTATACACCTTCCTTACTTTGGCATCCATCAACATGGTTGCTACAATCGGCTTAGCTTTCACTCCCTCCTTGTTAGTAAATTGCTACTGGCTTATTATGCCAAAGACTCATATCCGCCTTCGCTTTGCCTGTACGCAGTCTCCGAAAAGGGTAGCCATCGACAGCCTTGCTAGCGGATAGCTGCTTTTCACGAATGCACTAACACAAACTAGCCCAGCTACTACCCGCACATAACCACAGTCCCTTCCCCAGGAAATGCAGGCAACTATTAAAACTCGGGTCGGCTGGATTGGGACAGAAGCTACGGGATAAATGGTGGTAGAGGAGCAAGGGGGGAGGGAGAGGGAGGGGGAAGGGGAAGGTGTGAGGACCAGAGTGGTGGGTTAGGCCAGGAGCCTAACGGGGATGGCACGATTATCGATCAGGAAGATATTATTTAAGGTTAAGTGAAAATTTTGTTAGAAAACGTAGAAATGGATGATAGAAAAGGTCAAAAAAGAGTAAAAAAAAGGAAAGATGCAAAAAGAAGACGTAATAAATTAGGTAAGAAATGTCTCGGTCCACTAAGTCGTATACATTTCTTACCATTACCACAGTCGTATACATTTCTTACCATTACCATTAGTTTGAAGTAGAAACTGCAGACGGGGGAAGGGTTAGGGGGCAAGGATTTTTCTACGCCCGGCATGGAACTTAACGATGAGCGGAATTTAGTCAGTCAGCATGCACGTGTCTTTGAGTTCAGGTTCCAGTTGCGCAAATTGTAATTTCGGGTTTTTTCAGGCAGGGCTTTAGGCATTGCGCCTAAAATTACTGGCTTCGTTTCAGCACTAAATTTCATTCCGCGCATTAGAAAAAAGCATAAGGGAAAATTTCATGCCGAGCATAAAACCCCCTCTTCTAGAAACCTC